TGTCGAAGAGGACGTGTGGCGTTTCGTGGTCTTCATATTGTGGTTGAAACCCATGTCAATTGCGTGGTACTCTATCATAAGACGAGAACACCCCGAGTTGATTAGACAAGCTCTGTGCCGGTTGTCGACATTATGAGTAAGAAAACCCGAAAGAAGAAGAAGGTGGATCGGTATGCCAATTTAGTGAGGTCGTACGAGGATCCCAGTGTCCCGGGAAGTCAGGGAGGCGTGACGCGTTTCGCCAAAGCCCGAGGATTACCCATTGGACAGGTACGGAAGCGATTGGAAGCCAGTTTGGGCTACACGCTTCACAAACCCACACGTCGTCGTTTTCGTACTGTACCGGTCATGGTCTACGGTATCGACGAACAATGGGTGGCGGATCTCATCGAAGTGGGTAACATTGCCAAATCGAATCGAGGGTATAGCTATCTATTGACGGTGATGGACGTGTTGTCCAAGTACGCTTGGGTGGAACCGGTCAAGTCCAAGACTGGCAAGGACGTGACGGGAGCATTCGAGAAATTTTGAAACGCAGTGATGGAAGAATACCTCGCAAGTTGCAAACCGACGACGGTAAAGAATTTTACAACAAGACCTTTCAAGCCTTGATGACACCAAAAGACATTCGTCATTTTTCGACCAGCGGCGATACCAAAGCGAGTGTACCAGCGGCGATACCAAAGCGGGTTGGACCGAAGAAGTGTTTGTGGTGGCTCGTGTGGTGCCGGGTGTGATTCCTACCTATAAGATTAACGAGTGGGACGGAACGCCTCTGAGTGGCACGTTGTACGACCAGGATTTGCAGAAAGTGACGGTGAAGAGCGACGATCTATTTCGCGTGGAAAAGATCGTCAAACGAAAAGGGGATAAAGTCTTGGTTCGGTGGAAAGGTTGGCCAAACAAATACGACACGTGGATTGAGAAAGGGGCGCTGGTCAAGGCGAGATGAAAGAGTTTTATGTACAATTGATCAGCACTTCGAGTACCACGGAATTCCCCTCCAATAGAGCCAACAGTTTCAAGAACCGTTTGCCTTACCAGATCCAACTGAAACAAGAAGGATGGAAAGTGGGTTTGAGTAGCATTTCTTACCCGGTGCCACCCTTGCGACGTTATCAACCGTCGACTCACCGACCTTACCTCTTCGAAGATGATGACACCCTTTTGGAATTTGATTGGAGCATCGAAACCTTCCAACGTAGTTCCAATGGTATCTGGTTTCCGGCGGTCTACCGCAATGGTTTTTACATCAAGGGTGCCGACCTGCACAAGGACCAGGTCAAAGTCACGAGTGGTAAATCGCTCATGCGATACTTGGTCAATCGTTTCCAAGATCGTCTGACTCAGTACATGGAACGTGCCAATGAAAGTCTACGAGCTCCGGACGGTAAAAAATACTACCGTGTGTTTCGTTGGGAAGGTGATTCTTTGATTATCGACAACACGGATACGTTCCTCGATCAAAAAGGTAATAGAATGCGTCCCAAAGTGTGGTTTGGTCCTGAAATGGTCAAGAAAATGAAATGG